AACTTCTTCAAGCATGCATCTTCAGTCTTGTACTTCTTCTCAAGTGCGTCCCATAATTCTTTCGAAGTATTCATCGCACTGTACACATTGTACAAATCATCCTCTAAAGCGTTTAAGATATAGCCTTTGCAAAGAAAATCTACATGCTTCCACGCCTCAACAATCATGAATTTCTCGTTGTCCGGCATATCCGCAGCAGGCACTGGAGGTTCTTCACTAGTGAATTTCTGCATACCAAGTGTGGTAAGCCAGAAGAACACCATTTGCTGCCATCCTTTGAAGTTGGCTCCAAAAAATTTCTCCGGTTTCTCTATCGGTGGAACAGCAGTCCGGCTTGACGAGGCTATCGTCGTTGCCACAATAGTCGCAGAAGAATTTCCGTTATCAATTGCCATTTCTCACTGTAAATAACAGAAGAGTTCAATTAATGGCAAAATCAGAACAGTACACAATACTGTTATTAACAAAAAAAATAGTATGTATAATAAATAAAATCGAAGTTTTTATATACTGTTTTACAGAAAAACGATGAAGTTTTTATGTTCTTCAAATCGTTTTACGAATTTCAATACTCTGATGAAGTTTTTATATCTTCAAATCAGAATAGTAAAATTGAGAAGGAGTAGAAAACCACACAGGTTTTAATCTCCACAAACAAAATACAGAATAAAAAAAATAATTTCCTTAAGATTATTATTATTCTGTATTGCTGTAATAAACAATTAAACTTTCTAAAAAAACAAAATAGAAAGTTAGTAATACTTGTTTAACGAAATAGATTCTGAAAAACAAAAAACAGTATAGGAATAAATCGAACCCACTGAATACACAGTGTATCCTTAAGGAAATTATTCCCCTCAAGTACCCGAGATGCTGGAATATATCCTCCTAGGATAGAACGATTTAACTCACCAATGTATTGGTACCAAAAACTCTGATGAACTACGAACCACTTAATGGTCGTAAAACACACTGGAAAAGATTCTGGGATTCAAACTCTATTTATAGAGTTGCCAGCCATGGCTGTTGGAAAAGGGATGTTTGAAATATTGCGGAAAAAATATATTTAAAATAATTCGGAAAAAAAAATGGGCCTGACCGAACCGGGTCGCGGGTCATGGGTTATTCCGGATTGAATTTTTCGTTAATTATTTAATTAATTAATTAAATAATTAAAAGGAATGTTGTCCAAAAAGATTAATCAATCAATCTATGACCGAAGCCGAAGCCGAGCGACGACGACGGCGGCGCGAGGCTTGTCTTTTTCTTAACTCTTTAAGAGCTAGAAGAAGAGCAATTATATATATACCCATCAAAAGCCTTTTCTTTCTCCGATATGGGACAATGTCCCTTTCCCAAGGGAAACTCAAATATTTCATTTTTTCTCCATTTCTCATTCACCTTCTTTAAGCTACACAAGCTTAATATCCCAACAGAAAAAACTTCCTACCATGTATTTGGGCTTTCCTTTGGGTGCAAAGTTCAACGATAGAAGTGTGTACAAAAATGTCATTGAGATATCTGAAAGAAGCCGAATATTTCCTTTGGAGGTAGATTAACTTGTTATGTGTTTTTTGATGGAATGCCAACTTAAGCCCTCAGTGTCAAGGAACATTTACCGGGGTGTATGTGCGCGACAATCCATTTAGAAATGAAGAAACTTATAAGTACGATAACATTCATACATCAGATTCAAGATTACATTGAAGAAAAATAAACAGAATACTTAACTATTAATTTGGAAAATAAGAAATCACCAAACTGAAAAGAGACAATAACTTGCAAAGAGAAAAAACATCTCAAAGACATGGAGGTGAGTGCCATCACATTATTAGAATGATGGTGCGACCCAAGTTGGCGGGCAAATAGGACTTAGTGACAATCCAGGATAAAAAGATTCAATTTTTCCACTTTCAAGATCGTAAGCCCCCATATCTCTTCCACCCCCTCCTTCTAATGTGCGGAAAAAATCAGTCCAATCATCAGTAAAATATATTTGATTACGCTTGACTCCGATAAACTTAGAGGAGTCAATAGAACTTGCTCCATTACGGCCCAAGAAAATTGATGATTCTCCCAAGGTGTTAATCTCCTTCAATTCACCTTTGATTACATCTAATTCAAAAACTCTAAATTTAAAGGTTACAGCACCACCATTTGGACCCTCTGAGGCAAATCGGCTAACCAATAATAGTGCACCTGATACCTCTACTAGGTAGAACTGAACTAACGGCCGTTTAAACATATCATCCTCAAGCCAAACAAGATCACGTGGCTCTCCAATTGGTACATCATAAACCCAGACTTGGCCAGAGTAATACACAGCATAAAATTTACCCTTATAGTATTTGAGACTGGTAACTCCACCAATTACAATAGATCTGTCGATTTTCATATTAGTCCAGCTAAGGTCTCCAGGTCGCCAAAAAGCCAAACAATTTTTATATCCATAAAAAGAAACTACCAGTACATAATCAGATGTAAGAGAAGGGCTAGCAGATAACACAGCTTGGTCGATGCACGGATATCCTCCCTCTGGATCGTCACAATCAAAAGCCAATAAGGCCTCTTGTGGAGGAAGTTGGATTTGGGTACGGGAGAAAGGATGCAACAAGTTTACCTCTCCAGTGTATGCCGCGGTGCAGATCCATCCTTCCGACGAAAAACACGCTCGTCCTCTAACTTCGGGGAGAAATATGCGTGAAACTTTCTGCTTGGAAAGAGAGTAAAATTCTCGATAATCATCGTCTTTATCAGCCAGCATTAGCAACGGAACTTGGGGCGAAAACACATCAAAATTATGCTTGGGGGTAGCAGTTCGCCATGAGGTACAAACAGCACCAAAAGCAATAAAATCTTCAATCACCTTAACACGATGCGCAATCGGAATAAGGAGGTCACGAGGCAGTTCTGCCCAATTTGCCATAGCTTAGAAAGAAGAGGATGTAACCCTGCTAGGGCTAGAAAAAATAATTGCTTATTGTGTCGACTTTGAGGACATTTATAACAAGTACAATATATCCTATATTGACAGGGATTTGGATGGGAATACCATTGATAAGCCCAAGATCTTTCTTAACATATTCGGAACAGTTCGACTTTATTGCCTTTTTTATGCCCGGATATTTTTTTAACTATTATTTTAAAAAATAGCATTATTTATTATTTATTTCATAGAGAGCATTTTTTTTATTATTAGTATATTATAAAAATTAAGCTCAATATTTAATAAGTTAACTGACTCACTAATCACAAGAAGTATTTTTCTTGTCCATCTTCACTCTCCCTTTCCGACATTCATCTTTTTCACTCCATTTTTTAAAATCTGATGCATATGTGAATGCCACCTAAATTCAAGATGTATTGATTTATACGTCTTTTATACTTTGTATATCAAGTATCACTTTAATTCAAAATGTATTTATATGTATATAATTGTTGTATATTTACTTAATTAAATTTAATATATATTTTTTATGTATATTTCACATGTCTAAGTGCCATCTTAATTGAAGATGTATTTTTTATGTATATTTTTTGTATATTTTATATGTGTTAATTCAATGTATATTTTTTATATATATGTTTTGTATATATTAGCATATATTATTATCGAAGTAAGATCTTTATGTTAAGAAATGAAGAAAGAAGGAAGAAAAAAACTTAAGAAAGATAATTAAAAAGAAAACGAATGAAACAAATTTAGAAAATATATTGGTTTCGGCATAAAATAAATTTAAGAATATGAAGAAAAAGAAGGAAAGTTAATAGATAAAGAGAAAAAAAGACATGATTTTTGTACAAAGAATTATTGACTTTCCATTCAAATTGCTTATGTTTAGGAATTAATAATTAATATTCCTATTTTAATGGAAATGTGTGCTACAAATATAAATATTTTCCTACCACAACTGTAATATTGAGTTTCATGCTAAGAATTTATTATATTTCTTTTAAACTTTAATAGTTATGTAAAGTTCCCGACTTTATTTGGACTTCGAATCGTGGCCCAAAGGTCTAGCATGGACATAGTGGCAAAATGATTTTTTTTTTTAAAAAACTATATATATTATAGTAAGGACTTATTTAATAATTTTTTCATAGTTTTTCAATTTTCAATAAATAATTTAACCTTTTTAAACAATTTATATACATACAATTCCTTAAAATGCACTCGCATCCGTTATTAATACACTTAGTTAAGTGATTCAATTATATTCTTTCCTTTTATTCTCTCATCTCCTTTCTCCCTCTTATTCTATGTAATCAGTTAATGTAACTTTTCACTTAATGGTGGTCTCCACAAAAATCACACATAATGGTTGGC